AAAGAAGGAAGGAAGGAAGGAAAAGAAAGTTATGATTGAGAGAGAGATAAGAGAGAGCGGGAGGGAGGGAGAGGAAAAAGCGATTGTTGGCTTCTGAGATAGCTTTGTTTAAGGCTTTTTAGCTTTTTTTCCCCTTGCCACACGAGCTTTCTTGCTCTTCTTTTGTTGCTGTTTCATTGACCCCTCACCTTACCACGAGCAGGTGAGGTTGAAGCAAATTTGTTCATAAAGCTACCCTCTACAGGGTGCACATGTGCCCCATCATTCATCCTCAAACCAAGGCTCTTGGTCAAATCATGTCAAATACTTTTGGACTAAAATTAATAGTAAAACCACTGGACTATTTAGCTTCGTCGAGGTCTGTCAACCTTATATTAAACTAATAAGCTCGCAGTTAATTTTTTTAATAAAAAAATTCATTGTACGGTAACTTTTTTTTTGTGCCAAAATTGTATGGTAACTTGTTCTTTTCTTACGTACAGCTATCAATTTTATGATCAAGCACCTCTCCTTAAAATATCTGGGTGAAGAATGCTAACTTTTTCTTATTTGTAAGTTTGACTAAATTAAACTTGGTAGCGTTCCTTTTATTTCAAAAATTATACTTGACTTTCCTTCACTTTGCCTTTCGTATCGATAAAGTAAGCTTTTTCATGCTTTCAAAAAATAAAATTGTTTAGTCTGTGTCTTTATTTGTCATGTCATCAGGAATATAATTATCATGTTAGAGGTCAATTAACATCAACTTTAGTTGCTTTTAATCCTAATTATTAAATACAAAATTACCTTTTCACGTCACATAGAAAGTTTTTTTTTTCCTTAACGGACGGTAAATTAAAAGGGAGCTTCGATTCAACATATCATAGGAATCGAATATATGATTTTTTGACATATGCTACATATCACTGTGTACATTACCTGAAAGAAAGGACATTGGTTGTTACAGACCCAATTAATCAATCACATTTAATCTATGTTGTTTGAGACTGGTGGAAGCCACACACACACACGAAGAATTTGGACAAAGAAAACTTCCTCCTTATAGGAAAACAAAGTAATACTCGTAATTAATCAAGCACACTCTTATCTTATCCACATGACTATAATATAATTACTTAAAAAAATTAATTATTTAATCCTTATAGTTTTAACTTAGTTGTAATTTAGTTTTTAAACTTTTACTCATTATAATTTAATCTTTGAAGTTTTGATTTAGTTGTAAATCAGTCTCTGAACTTTGTCTCTCGCAATTTATTCCCTGAAATTTCAACCTCTTAAATATTGATCCTTATATTTAAAAAATAAAATTATAAAAATTAAAAATATTTTAAAATTCATTACTAATATTTTAAATTATTAAACCCTTTTAATCTTTATAGACATTAAAATTTTAAAATATTTTTAATCTTTATACTTTTATTTTTAAAATACAGATATCAATATTTAAGAAGTTAAAATTTCGAGGATTAAATTGTAAGAGGCAAAATTTAGGGATTGATTTATAATCGAGTCAAAACTTCAGAGACAGAGTTATAACAAGATAAAATTGAAAGACTAAGTTACAACTAAGTTAAAACTATAAGGAATAAATGATTAATTTTTTCAATTACTTATTATGCCTATACTGCCCAGGAAGCACAAAAATTAATTGTTCTCGTTCTGAAAAAGAGAAGAAAACCCTTGAGACGAGACTATATATGGGTTGGCCTTAGCTTGCTGATACCCAAGAAAAGGAGCATATATCAGTAGTATAATTAATGTGAGCAAAATTAGAGGTTAGGAGAGTATTTGACTATTTTTTAAGGGAGGTAATTAAATTGGGAGCGTAGAGTGAGAGTGATGAGAACATGGGCATGCGTGAATGTTGAGAAAGAAAGTAAAGCAAACATTGAAAAGCAAAGCAGGAATATTTGTCTGCGGCTGTCCCCAACCCCCACTTTCCTATCTCATTCACTTTCTTTCTTTCTTTCTTTCTTTATATTAATCCTTTTGGCCTCCCTTTAATTTTCTTTTCCACTTCAGTTCCTAAATTGCTTTTTCTCGATATATCCCATTTATACCATACATCAGGTTTCCCTCTCGCTTCCATGCCTTCCATTTTCCCTCATTTCCGACCTATGCCACTCATCTCTGACTTGTAATTTCTTTCATTTCCTTTTCTTCCCATAAATACAGATAATGTTATTAGTCGTATCAATTTTTTTAATTAAAAAAATTTAAATAATCTAAAGTACCATGCATGCAGACACGTACACGAGTTAAAGTTAAAGGTGTTCTACACGTGTATATTAATATCTAGACCCAAGCTTGAAGATAAGAATTCAACTCTGGACAGGATAAGTTTAACAAGTAATTAACAAGTAGATAATTTATTCCGAAACTATTTCGTCAATCACTTGTTATATAATCTGAATTATTACGCTCTCTTATTAATTAATTAGCCTAGCATGCCTACCTGGGGGCCGGGTCTGAATCATCAGGCATTCTGAAATAATGTTGTTTGCCTTTTATTAAGATCGGAAAACGTACCTTTAAATTTTGCATTAGTAAAAGTACTGAATCAGTATTTCAAAATAACATGATAGTTCTTGTTTTTGTCATCTTCTTCTCTATTTGTTTTCCTTCCTCAAGTAACATATACGCGATGTTTTCTACTTTTAAAGAGCAGAAATGAAAGTAAAGTACAGAGACTATCCCCAAAATAAACAGTGGCATATGTATATATATTGCAGGGAGGGCCCCAAAAGAAAGAATACTTAATTGGAATGGAAACAAAGACCAAAATCAATTAGTTCCAACAGTAACAAACAAACAAAACCAAATCAAGATATGACCATTATACGCTTTTTTTTTAAAAGCGAACCCATGTTTGGAGGGTGCTTGACCCTGGTGATCTCGGATATCAATCTTTAAATTTGTGTGGTCACCACACACTACCCGTTGATTGATTCTTCAGACCTAATTAAAATAATGGATCTTTCCAGCAGTGAAAACGCTTGTCTTGTTAGACGCCAAATTGCTTAAAATTCGAGGTTCACTGCTTCGGATACCAACAAAACTAAAGCCGACAAAATCCCTCTGAATCTCTTTATTGTTGCAATGAACACATGGGGCCATTCATCTCTGCAACTGCAAATACGCACCATCATCACGTTATTGAACTTCATCCTAGCTAACGTAACATTTTCACACCCTTCAATCGGTTGCTCGCGTTTATCTGATCTCTTTCATATCCGTCCATCTATCTGTCTGTCTGCACTCTATTATACAATTTAAATGTTCAAACCCTCTATCAGATAACGATGTTGCAGCCCTACAAGTTATTTTATATACGTACCTTGCAATCCCCTCCATGATGATATATGCGCATATAGATTAGATGTTGTCAGCTAAGGTACGTAATTTTCAGAATTTTCTGGTGGATTCTCCTGTGACTTGCCCCTAAACGAAGAGCTTCCATCGTTGTCGATTGCATACGAGAGCTTACATCATTTCTACAAGGTTCCCTTTCACATGTTGACAATTCATGAGAGACAACTATCTACGATCTTTTCACAATTAATGCTCCGGAGGCATTTCTTAGACTGCAGGCATATATATGTCATGTATCTCCAGATATTCATACGGTTTTGTTTCTACTTTTCACTCCTTCCAATCAAAAGAAATTAAAGTGAATCAATAATCACTTTTGCTTCTTCTTCTTTTTTAACCAAGGGTAAATAAGGAGTAACAGAGAAAAAAGCTCACATGCAGTAAAAATCAAAACACAACCATTTCTTAAACTGTAGAAGAAACTATGCATTGTTTTGTTTAATTCCTATATTGGTCGTGTCCAATCAATTTAACTCTCGTTAGTCTGGATTCTCCTGCAACTGCTTAATTATATTTCAAGCAACTCAATGAATCCAATTAGCTAGTAATAAACTGCTTCATATTGACTTTGCAGGGACACAGAGATCTGTTCTATTAATTAGCCGGGAGGAGACGTTGGTAGAGCTAAGAAGGTTGCTGTTACAAAGTGCGTGTCCCTGAAAGAGATATATATATATATATATATAAATAAGAGTTGCAGAGGGGAAAATGGTAGCTTTAATTAGAGACAGTTTTTCCTTTTTTTTTTTTCTTTTTTCGTTTTTGGTTGGCATGAGTTTTACACAGTGTCTTTGCTTTAAATGAAGAACCCCGCTTATCTTTTGAAAAGCTGAGTTGTGGGCCATGTTAATCGAAATCATGAGTCTCAAAATATTTCTGCCCACGTCAACAGGAATTTCAATGCAAAGTCATCATTAGTTTTTCTAAACCACCAGATTACTTAACTGATGCTTGCTTAGATTTTGAATCCTAGACATTTGGCATCGGAAGAAATGATGACCTATGCGCCTTTGTGTGTGTGTGTGTGTGTGGTTTTTCTTTTCATTTGATTTTTTTTGGGGGGGGGGGGTGTTTTGAGTCGCCCATGTGCCACTATCACCTGTTATCGTCCTTTCCTGCTCAAAAAGGATTAATTGAAGAATTCAATAAGAAATAACCTCCCAATCAACTATAATCATTATTCAACGTGTCAATTAGTTCCATCAGCTTATACTGAAATCTAGTTTAGTTAAAACTCCATTTTTGTATGCATGGAAGGCGTAGTCGGAAAAAATAACGTCATGAATTTTTTATTTTTTTTTTGGTGTGTGCGCACATTTCTGTGTTCATTGGACACAAAAGGCCAATCGGAGTGGGCTCCTTCTCTCTAGCACTGAAACAGCTAAGCCCAATCTACTCTGAACCCTGGAGTGAAAATAAAAAGTCAGAGCCCGTCTGCGGGATTTCAACCTCTCCACCGGCTAATAGAACCGCAAATTTATATGGTTGCGTTCATTTTGTACCCTTCAAAAAAATTACTCCTCCTGTTCAATAATCGAATTGATGACGAAGTTTAGTGCAATGAATGGGCTTTAACGTTTATTGTGATATGAACTTGGACCCTGAGGCAACTCCTCGTGGGAACGGGACGGATACTTCATCCAATGGGCTTACGGGGAGCGGTTAAGTCTGTACGGAGGGTGTGGATGAATTGAGTCCAGCTTCCCTCTGATGATCTCCTTCGTACAGTGACGGCTCCCTTCTACTTCTTCTTTCTGTATTGTTCTCTTTCTGAGTATTGTGGCTTTATCATCTGTGTCTTTACATTTGTGTTTGAAAAGCACTGTGACGCTATTGCTTTTGCTTAAATATATATTTGGGTATTTCTGGAGCTTTTTTGGATCGATTTTTTACTGTGATTAAGTTAATCTCAGTCATAGTTTCAGAGTATCCATATCATTTTGCTGCAGGAACTAGCGGAGAGATTGAGAGAGGACATATCCATCCATGGAAGCTATGGAAGCAAAACTGAGTGAGACTGGATGCTGTATTGAGTTACTAGTGCCACTTGCCCAGGGGCTAGCCAAGCAGCCATTAACCTCTGTTCCTGTGAGATATGTGCGTCCAGAACTTGAGCTTCAATTTACATCTAACACTTGTTCTTCACGACTACCTCAAGCTCCCGTGATAGATATGATTAAGTTGCTGTCTTCAGATTGCCATGTTTCTGAGCTCCACAAGCTTGATTATGCCTGCAAACATTGGGGTTTCTTTCAGGTTTGTCATCTTCTCCTCCAATTTCATGTACACGAATTCTCATGGGTATTGATCACTTTACCTATCACTTTATTGGTAAGTAAACGGGGCCAACGCCCAAACAAAAGAAACTACACAATTAAGCGTGGGCTAGAACAGCCCAATTCATCCCTATGCAACGCTCCCATAAACCCACAGGTGGCTTATGCGGCATTTGGACGACATTGGTTTGAAGGTAAACTTAAAATATATCTATTTCTAAAGCATTAAAAGAATTTAGTGGGTACGTTTCTATTTCTGAAGTACGTAAAGTATACTTTTCTATTTACCCCTGGTGTTTGCGTACATGACCATGGACTTGCAAATATTTAGTGAGGTACCTTTAAAAGTATTCTTGCATGGTTACTCTTTTCTTAAACTATTCTAAATATGTGATCCCTCACGTCAGCGTGGTAGATTTAAGATTTTAAAGCTCAATCATCCTCCACAAAAGAAGTAGCAAGAGATAATGTCTATATGATCAAATGACCTAATTCTTCTGGGTTCTTTTGGGTAAAAAACGATGTTGGTTTTATCTTTTTGATAATCCAACCTTTGAATGTTTACTATACTTGTGTGTGTTTGTGCCCATGCACTACGTTAACATAAAAATTGAATAATGCAGTTGATTAATCATGGAGTGAGCCCTTCATTAGTGGAAAGTGTGAAGAAAGGAGTGGAAGAGTTTTTCAACATTTTGATGGAAGAGAAAACCAAGTTTAATAGGGAGTAGGAGAAAGAGAAGGATATGGTCAGTTGTTTGTTGTATCTGAAGAACAAAAGTTTGACTGGGCTGATATGTTGTACCTCACCACTCTCCTACTACAAGCAAGGACACACTTACTCCCTAACCTCCCCTTCCTGTTCAAGTACTCTTGACAGTTGACACACACACAAAAAGAGAAAACTTCAAAGAAATTCAATCACATGATTTTTATTGCCATGCTGGGATAACTTGGACGCCTATTATATGGAATTGAGAAGGCTTGCAATGGAACTGATTATGCTAGTGGTGAAGCTCTAAATATGGAAGCTAAAGTGTTGAGACTAAATGAACAAAGCCCAACCCACAAATATTGCCAGAACCCCATACGAAGAAGAGTTTAGTATTATATGGACCCAGAATATCTGACTTGATATTTTTGTGTGTACAGTTTTGTTGTTTTTCCCTCTTATTTTTATCTTGTAATTACCTATTGTTATTCTTTTTGTATTAAGGTGTTTACCCAATCTCTGTAAATAGTAATAAAGGTATTGGGCACTGTAAGCCACTATTACATATTTCTCTTCTTGTGTAATTTCATCTTGGTAGTAGAGCTGTCTTTAGGTTTACACTATGGTTGACAAGAGCTCCCTTCATACTCCTAAAAATTCTTCTGCCACTTATAGCTTACACTATGGGTTTAACATTATTAGCTTAAGCATGCATGCCTCTTTTCTATTAGTGGCAGGCATTTCACATTGCCACTATTCTTATAAATAAGTTACCTACACCTACTCTTGGTGGCATCTCTTCATTTTAAAGGCTATTTACTAAATTTCCTGATTATAATAGTCTTAAGGTGTTTGGTTTTACTTGTTACCCGTGTCTCTGACCTTACAATCAGCATAAATTACAGTTTAGGATTGTAAAATGTGTTTTTTTGGGCTATAGTAATCATCATAAAGGCTATTAATGTTTAAGTCCTATTGGGAGAGTATATATCTCTAGAAATGTTGAGTTTAATAAACAATCATTCCCTTTTGCAAATGGTTTTCTAAATAAGAAGAAGATACTTGAAGTTAATGTTCATCCACAAGTCTTCTTTAGATCTTCATTATTCTCTGTTCCTTCTTATTGGGCAACTCAACATATGACCACTAGACCTATACAAAGTACTTCTTCAATCTCTGAATTTCCTGTAACAAATGTCAATATAGCCAATCCTACTCAGAATATGTCAAATGTTCAAATAGAAGAAGTTGAAGAGGAAATAAGAGACACTATTGTCTTATTGTCTCCAGGAAGTCATTCATTAGTTACGATAATAAAAAATGCACAATCTGATTCATTACATTCAGAATAGCAATGTGAAGAACCATAGAATAAACATCATATGATAACAAAGAGCAAAACAGGTATCTTCAAACCAAAAATTCCTTATGTTGGTTTAGTAACTACAACTAGCAGTAATGTTGTGATTGAATCCAATAATGTTCAAGAGGCCTTAAAATCTAGTATGTGGAGAAAAGTAATGGTTGAAGAGTTTAATGTATTGGTTAAAAATCAAACATGGGTTCTAGTACCCTATACAGGAAAAGAAAGGCCTGTTAATTGTAAATGGGTCTTTAAGAGTAAATATAGGCTTAGTGGTAATTTTTTGAAGTTAAAGGCTCATCCAGTGGCCAAGGGTTTTCAACAATGCCTTGGAATCGATTATGCAGAAACATTCAACCTTGTTTTGAAGCCTTCTACACTCAGATTTGTACTTTTATTATTGTTTGTTTTAATTGGAAAATTAAACGATTGACACTAACAATGCCTTTCTCAATGGCTATCTTTAAGAAAGAGTTTTGATGAAACAACCTGAGGGATTTATAGACAAGAGATTTCCTAATCACATTTGTCTACTAAACAAGGCTATTTATGGATTGAAGCAAGCTCCAAGAGCTTGGTTTGAGAGGTTGAAAAATACATTGTTAGTCTGAAACTTTGTTCACTCCAAATGTGATAAGTTGCTTTTCTTTTATAAGTTTCAAGGCTATGTTATTTTCTATCTAATTTATGTAGATAACATAATTGTTATAGGTAACAATTCTTATATGCTGTCCTTGTTTATTAATAAATTAAACAAGTTATTTTCTCTTAAAGATCTGGGTAATCTTCACTATTTTCTTAGTATAGAAGGTTACAGAGATGAAAATATTCTTTATTTGAAGCAAGAAAAATATAAATTGGAGATTTTGAAGAAATGTGGAATGGAAAATTGTTGTCCAATGCCAACACTTATGGTAGTCAACAAAATTCTATTAATTCATGATAGGGTTCTATTATCAAATCATTAGTGCCTTACAATATCTGGTTAATATTAGGCCAAATATTATGCTCAATAAACAAACTTAGTCAATTTCTCCAAAATCCAACAAACAAATACTAGCAGGCAATTAAGCGATTACTCAGATATTTGAAAGGTTCATCAAATCTAATTTTTCAAATCAGACCGAGTGATTACCTCAATTTATAGGGGTTCTCTGATGTAGATTGGGCTGTTATGTAGATGATCGGAAGTCCATTGATGGTCATTATGTGTTCTTTGGTGATTCATTAATCGCTTGGTTAGGTAAGAAATAGAGGGTTGTCCCCAAGTTGAGTATTGAATCCAAACACAAATATCTGGCTAATCTTGCAACTAAAATTGCATGGCTACAATCTTTAATTTTTAAGACTGGGTTGAAGCTTGATCAAATTCCCATTGCTCAGTATGACAATTTGGGTGCTGTTGTGCTAACTTTAAATTATGTGTACCGCGCTTAAACTAATCATATTGAGCTTGATGTGTACTTTATTCATGATAGAGTGATGAGTAACTAGTTCAATGTTCATTATGTACCTTTATCAAGGAATATCATAGATATCTTTACTAAGGCAATGATGTACTCTCAGTTTCTAACTCTCAGGGACAAACTTGAATTGTCAAAATCTCCAATCTCTAGTTTGGGGGGTATGTTAGACTAAACGAACAAAGCTTAACCCATAAATACTGCTAAAGCCCAATACACAAAAGAGTTTAGTATTATCTAGGCCTAAAACATCTGATTAGTTATTTTTAGTGTACAATTTTGTAATTTATCCCTCTTATTCTTATCCTGTAATTACCTATTGTTATTATTTTTGTATTAGAGTTTTTTACCTTATCTCTATAAAGAGCAATAAAGGTATTGGGTACTGTGAGCCACTATTATAGATTTATATTCTTATGTATTTTCATCTCAAGGAGATGAAAGAGTTATTTAAAGAAGGATAACAATCAGTAAGGATGAATTACTATCTTGCATGTCCTTAACTAGAGAAGGTGATTAGCTTCTACCTTGACTCAAATGCCAATGCCTTCACAATACTCCTCTAAGTCAATGAAATGGACGATCTTAAAATCAACAAGGATGCTACTTGGGTCCCCATAAACCCTCTCCTACATGCTTTCATTGTCAATGTTGTAGATGATTTTGAGGTAATTAAGTAATAGTCAGTAAAGGATTGATAGAATATTTATAAATTCAAATATTTCACTTAATTATTGCTTTTTTTAATGTAATTCAAAGTTATTTTTTAATTTATTAGCAAAAATATGATTAAGTGGATGATTATATGTGAGAATAGACATGAAAATGTAATTAAAAGTTAATAGACCAATTCTAATATTAATTCTAGGTTTTATACATGTAAGGAAGCCCAAAAGTGAAAACTTTGAAGCCCAAATCCAAGCAAGTAAATTTCAAAAGAAATTTTGCACAGGTCATGCTTGCTATAGTGAAAATGCGTTTCATTGCAACGAAGCAAAAATTTTAATAAAATGCACATCTTTGATTTTTAGTGAATTTTAAGGGTTTAGAGACCTCATTTTCAACTATTCTTCACTTCTAACAGCTAGAAAACATCTAAGGAGAGGAAAAGGAGCCAAAAAAAGGTTGAAAAAGATTGGTTTTAGTAAAAAATCAAGGGTTTAGCTCAAGATTTCTCTGATTAAGCATTTTTTTTTCTACTTCTCTTTATTTTAATATATATATATATATATATATTAATGATATTTGCTATCATTAGAGCCATGTATGGCTGATTTTCTCTTAATTTAGGATAGCTATGGACTAATTCTTAGATAATAGCTTGTTTAAACTATTTATTTGAGCTTAATATTAGTTTGTTTACTTAATTTGTACTTATTTATCTACTTAATACTTGGCCATCATTAAGTGTGAATTTGGGAGGTTTGGGTTTTGCCTTGAAAAAGAAAAATTTAAATTAGACCATTAGATAAAATAATGTGGGATTAGAATTTATTTTAATTTGTCAATAGAATAGAAAAATATCTATTAGACCCATATAATCATATTAGAGTAAATTTGTGCTTTTTATCTCTTGAGTATTTGTGTTAAGAATAGCATATTAATTCAAAGGAGGGGTGTAATTAATCGAAAGATAATTATTCTATCAATGCTCTAGATTAAAAAATTAATATTAAGTAAATTTAGTTAAATAATTACATGCTCTATGAATTGAAGAAGATATTAGCTACCTTAGGTGTGTTCATTGTGATGACTCGAGTGATAACTTCCTCCCTCACCGGTGACAGCTTCCTTCCTTGTAGGTGACAATTTTGAGAAAACAATAGCAAACAAGCAATAAATGATGAAGATCCATAACAACAATCAACCTTGACGTGAGCAAGAATAAAAGTAGAGATGGTGAGATTAAAATCAAAATTTGCCTTTCTTATTCTAGATCTAGTGATAGATGAGATTGATTCAAATGTTAGCTGCAAAATTGAAGTCAAATGAGGAGAGACATTAAAATCATGCATGGATTGTTCCAGAGGCATAAATGGGTTGTTGTTGCATTTGCTTTTCTTGTTTTAGATCTTGTTCTAGATGCATTAAAATAATCACATGGGTTGTTTCTTCATGTGGGGAGGTATTAAAATCATATAACTCATGCTTGCAATGAGAAAAAGGAGTGTTTGAAAGGGGAAAATTAAAGGAGAAAGAAGAGGTGGATGAGATACAGCTCATGGTTTACTGGCAAAGGGAGAATAGAGGAAAGGGAAGAAGAAGATAAGGGCAATTGTGTCTTTTAGCTCTTTTTTTGTTAGATATGAGACTTATTTTTTTAATCTTATCACATATCAAACATGATTTTAAAATTTATTCTCAATCTCATTCCCACTCCTATTACCAATTTCAATCATATTATTAATTCTATAAAATTCAATACTTTGTATCATATAAGGCCTTAGATTGCTTTGATCATTTGCAATTATTGAAACTTTTATTTTAGTGCATTTATATAATTTTAATTTTTTTATTTGTGAAATTAAATACAAATTTTATTTTGCTCGACTTAAACGAAAATGAAAAATTTATTATTCAATTACCAATTAACTTAATTCTTTATGAAACAACATTGATTTATCACATATTATTTTTACAAACTATACACTCGTGAAATCCATTACATATTGTGTGCACCAAATATTATATACGAGCTTAAACAATTAATCAATGATGCGATAGATTGTGAGTAATGGGATATACAAGAGCAAAGAGTGATAATGAACTCCAAGAAAGGAGGATACCGGTGGCTACTTTCTTTGGTGCAAGATTAGATGGCATGATAGGTTTATCACCAAACTGCATAAATGCACA